TTGCGTCTGGGCCCTCGGACCTCAGTCAGCAGCTCGGGGCGGACCTGCAGGTCTTCCTGCATCCATGACCGCAGTGTGCGGTGCACGGCTTGCAGGGCCCCAAGGTGCTGGTCCCAGTATTCCTGCTCCGTGCTGGCAGTCCGGAGCAGGCCGCGGGTGCGGGAGCATGTCCCGGGCGGGGTGGTGTGCCCTGCACGAGCAGCTGGTGCAGCTGTAGAGAAAGAAGAGAAGTGGTCAGTTCTCCCTGGGGACGCAGAGGATGATGCCCAGCCCCCTCCCCAACTCCGCAACGTGAGGGTGACCATGTCCTGCACCGTCACAGCCGCTGTGCTTGTACAGAGGCCATGGTCAGGATGTCTGGCTCTCCCCGGGACTGGGAGCTGCCCCAAGACCGCACCCATGTCCCTGTGCCATGTATAGTGTGGCCGGGGCAGTGGGGGGGAGGGGGAAAAGTCCTCTGCTTCCATGTAGAGGGGACATGTGAAGGGAAAGCATCCTGCTGGGTCCTGCCCCGGGGTCGGGAGCATGTCACGTCTCTTCGCACAAGCATGTGCCTATTGGGCAATGGCCCCTGGGTGTCACGCAGCTGGAGCCACCTGCCCAAGGGTGGCATGGCATGTGCTCGCACGTGCACAGGTGTCTGCGTGATCCGTGGAAGGCATGGCCCACGCGCGTGGTCTCTGGTCTCCCTCCCACCTCCCCCCCCGAACTACTTAATTCAAACCGCGGCCCGCCCCTCCCCCCAAGAGTTGGTGGAGGGCAGCGAAGTAGGGGCAGGTGTCATCCCCTGCAGCGGCACTGCCCCTGGTGGCCCTAGCGTACCCCTGCCGCAGCTGCTTCAATTTAATTTGTTTAAATGAGTCTTATTATTAAGCTGGCATCCTTCCAACATGCCTGGCTCTGGGCCTGCCACCACTTTCTGTAAGTGATGAGGTGCAAGCCCCGCTGCTGGGGGCACAAATATTGGAAGCGTTTGAAAACGATTGCAGGTTCTGGAAAGGGGTGAAGTTCAACCTCTCGTGAACAGTGTGTGACTAGCCTGACTCTGGCAGCCCACCCTAGTAACAACCCTTTTCCTCTGGGCAGCTCAGGCAGGTAGAACTAGATTATGATGTGGATTATGCCCCAGCATGGATGGAATAAGAACTCCTGCATCCCCCTAAAAAAGCTACTTCGACTTTGGAGCCAGGGCCATAGGAATAAAGGGTATGTCTACACTACAAAGTTAGTTCGAACTAACTTTCATAGGCGCTACACTAGTGCTCCGTTAGTTCGAATTTAATTCGAACTAACGGAGCACTAGTGTAGCGCCTATGAAAGTTAGTTCGAACTAACTTTGTAGTGTAGACATACCCTTTATTCCTATGGCCCTGGCTCCAAAGTCGAAGTAGCTTTTTTAGGGGGATGCAGGAGTTCTTATTCCATCCATGCTGGGGCATAATCCACATCATAATCTAGTTCTACCTGCCTGAGCTGCCCAGAGGAAAAGGGTTGTTACTAGGGTGGGCTGCCAGAGTCAGGCTAGTCACACACTGTTCACGAGAGGTTGAACTTCACCCCTTTCCAGAACCTGCAATCGTTTTCAAACGCTTCCAATATTTGTGCCCCCAGCAGCTGGGCTTGCACCTCATCACTTACAGAAAGTGGTGGCAGGCCCAGAGCCAGGCATGTTGGAAGGATGCCAGCTTAATAATAAGACTCATTTAAACACTGGTCTGTCCCCTCCACAAAGAGGCCAAACAGCACCCTCTGGGCTTGTGAGCAGCTAGATACCCAAACACGGAGGCCCTAGGGCTTTTTTAACTTTCTATAGAAAGTAGTGTGAATCATCCAAAGGGTGTGGCAGGCACCACAAAAGTGACCAATAAGGCCTATGTCGTTGCTAATAAATATGATAGCCACGGTCAAGTTATAAGCTACATTCTCTCATAAAACAGGAACTGCAACCAAGTGCTCGCCCACCCACCCACTTCACCACGGTGCCCGTTGCTGTGGACAAATTGAGATACACCCATTTCTTAATGTGGGGGCTTACTCTGATCCAGAGCCAACTGGGAAACACTCCTCCTCAGCAGTGCCCACACCAACAACACCTACACAAGGAGTGGGGGATGGGGCAGCTCTGCTACCCAGAAGGGGTGGGGCCTCAGTTGGAAGGGGCAGGGTCTCAAATGGAAGGGCGGGGCTTCCGGTGGAAGGGGCGGGGCTCCGGGCAGTGAGCCCTTAGTGACATGCCATAGCAGCAGTGGTGGCCAGGAATTCTGGGGCCCTATGAATCTCCAGGCCCTGGAGCAATTGCCCCCTTTCCCTTCCCACCTCCATCAGTGAGCCTGCTCCCCTTGATTTCAATGGGTTTTGCATCTGGCCACTTGCACCTGACTCAGAAAAATGCTGAGCACTCCGCAAAGGGAGCTCCCTCAATGAGCATTAATTTCATTGGGAGTTAGGGGCCTAACTACCTGTGAGAGTCTGGGGTTCAGGGTTTCATGGGGGTGCTTGGCACCTTGCACAAATGAGTTCTTACAGCTTGTGCTGATCTGTATAATATACAATCAGTATATTGGGGGAAAACTTCACATGCTCAAATGGGAATTAGGCACCCAACACCTATTGAACATTGGTGCCTGAATGCCATAGGCACATTTGACAGTTCTAGGCCTTCTCTTTCTCCAAAAAGATATAAACCCACACATATATTGTGATACCTTCTTCAGACGAGATGTGCTGTAAATAGAAAATATACAAGTAGCAATGGAACAAACTCCAACTCTCGTGACACTGTGAGAAGTGACATGTGCAATCTTAGCTGTCTTTGAGGAGAAAGTTTTAACAAAATCTTTCCAATATAAATATCAAGGAACTGGAAAAAAAGTTTTAAACTTTGATCCCATAGCTGCAAGCAGTCCTTGCACTGATCAGCTGTTAACTGGATCCTTGAGGCCTCACATTAATGGGATTTAGGGTGGATATTTTTACTGAACAAGAACAAACTGACCCAATTAAATTTGGAAAACAGGCCAGATGGTTAGATACACAACTACCATCAGAGAGAATTGCATGCATGCATCAACCGACAAACATGTAGTATGATAATGTACTGAGCCAGATTCTGCTCTGGGTTGAACTCTGGCAATTGAGTGGAATACTAGATTTCAGAATGTGTAGAGGACGGAAATCTTGTGGGCTGAAGTTTACATATGCCTACGCAGTGGGTGAACCAGACAAAACATCCCATAATCCATACTGGTCTTTGGAATCAGAAAGGATTGCTCATGTATACCACTAAGGGCACATCTACACAGCAGGGCTGAAGTTGGAATAAGCTACACAACTTCAGCCACGTCAATTGCGTAGCTTAAGTTGAAATAGCTTATTTCTGCTTTTGGCACTGTCTCCACAGCAGGAAGTCCGAGAGAAAGCACTCTTCCTCCAACTTCCCTTACTCCTCGTAAAATAAGGGTTATGGGAGTCAGATTAAGAAGTCCTCCAGCTCAACATTACGTTGACAGTATGTCGAAGTAACAGCTTGTAGTGTAGACGCAGACTTTGTTATTTCGGAATAACATCGGCTTTTCCGAAATAACACTGCTGTGTAGACCTGCCCAAAGGTAATGACATGTGCAAATGGATATTTTAATGTACCTAAGGAGAAGTGTTGACTGAATGGATGCATGGGCATTTTGGAAGGCTCACTCATTACAGAAGCCTTTGAAAATATGGCAGCTCATGTCTTTTATGGAAATCATTAATTACTTGAATTTATCTTAAGTAAAGCAATTATGAAATGACAGTGCCTAAGGATCCTAATTGTCTGCATGTTCCGTACAATTCATGTGTTAAACATTAACTCCAGCACAGGTATTTAATTTCAGGGACATGTTACCAGATATGTTCATGCATTAGGTTGCAATAACCCAGTTAATGCTGGCGAACAATAAAGAGCTTTACATCTTCATTGCCATTAAACTGAGAAGTGACACTTCAGTGTTTTGTTTTCACTGCCTCCATGTAAAGCTGAAACCGACTCAGCGACAGCATTTAAGGATACATTATGATAATAGGATAGGGATTTCTTCTAAATATAACTGAGGGCTGCTTTAAAAATATAAGGTCAATGTAATGGTACCATCTAATCTAGCTTTATCTAGGAAGGTTGAATCTCCAATCCTAGAGGTTTTTAAGTCATGGTTTGACAAAGCCTTGGCTGGGTTGATGTAGGTGGGGTTGGTCCTGCTTTGGGCAGAGGGTTGACTCGATGACCTCCTGAGGTCTCTTCCAGCCCTGGGATTCTATCATTCTATGAGCCTTCTTCCTCATCCCTGTACAGATGGTCTGTACCACGTCTGTGTGCCACTTAACTCCTCAAAATAAAGGACTTAAGTAACACCTCAGCCTTGGACTAGCCCTTTACATAGGAATGAATTTCACTGTCAATGCAGAATTCTGATATACTAGGGCAAGTTGACATTTTCCATCAAAACGTTTTGCATTGGAAAATTACGCCTACGACTAAATGAAAGTGATTGTAGATCATTTCTGCTTCCCCTTAACATTATTCAGTTTCTTGCCAGAAAATCAAAACACTTGGGGAAAAAAAGCACAAGAGAAGAAAGGAAAAACTCAAGTCTCTGCTCAATTGTCAATTGCTGAAAAAGAAACAAAGTAGGGGGAGGGGCAATTTTCTTTGGTTCTGATGAAAAATCGACGTTTTCCAGAAGGGGAAAAAAATTCTTTCCTCGTATAAACAGTACAAAGCCTAGAGCAGGATAGGAAATCTGTCCACTGGGGACACCCCTGCTAGTTACTTTTTAGCTAATGACTAAGAAGCATCAAATTCTCTGCAGTCATATCATTGTCTATTCCCCATCTGAATTTTACATCTGTTAGCTTCCCTGACCAAAGGTCCCACTTAAGCCTTGTCTTGAAACTTTACAGCAACATATGATATCAGTTTGTCTGACACACGCATTCTTCAGAGCCTGACACATTATTTGTCTTCAGAGGAGTTCACATCTGGTTTTTTTATACCCTGCTGACTTAGTTTAAAACTCCTCTTGTGGGAGTACCAGGTCAAATTGTTGCCTGCTGGGGTAATGCATTTCCTCCAATTAGCCCCATGTCTTCTCCACTCTAGACCATCCCAGAGAGAAGTTTTCAGCATGCAAGAGGCCATTCATTCAATGAAATAGAACATTCTCTAAATGCATACATACCTTCTGTTACAAGGGTTGGGGGATTTAACAAAATGAGTCTTTGGGCCACTCCAACAATGTTTGGCAGTAAGAGTTCTTGAAGATCAGCAAGGTTACGGATATCCAGGGCAGAAAAGGCGAAGCTTCCGTCAGTAGCAATTTGCTGAAGTTCTGCATTGTCAGCCTTCAGGACCCCAATGCTAAATGAAAATATACTAGCTTGCTTCACCGCTAACACCGCCTCTCTGATATCATCACTAGACTCTCCACCACTTATCAGCACTAAGACCTGAGGCACACCTTCCTCTACTCTGCTTCCTCCTGCCCGGGTGAAGTGGTTCTCCAGCACAGATTCGAGTGCTGCACCAATGTTAGCTTCCTCGCCACCCAGGAACCTAAGTGCCTTCACGGCATTCAACACATCAGCTTTGGTGGAGTAGCGGTTCAAAGAGAACTCAGTTCTGGGTTGATCGCTATATTGCACCACCCCAATGCGTATCTGCTGAGTTCCAACAGAGAGTCTCTCAATGAAATTTACAAGGAAATCGCGTATGGCTGGGAAATGGACACTTCCGATGTTGTTTGATCCGTCAATAAGGAAAATAAGGTCAGCAGATTCTTGCGCTTTAAAAAAAGAAATGCAAAAGGTGAAAGCATTAAAACAAGTGATCACATGCAGTTGTACAGTGTTCAGACATGTTTCTTTGGAAACCAGTAAGAAACACGAAAATGGGCAAACAAAACAAGACGTTTATTGAGGACAGTGAAATTTGCCTCTTCGTTCTGCATTCTGATTGAATATGAGTTAACAGACCAAGTATCTGTTTCATGAGACAATACAGTATTTTGAAAGGATCTAAATTCATTTTTACAGTTAATTACCAGGACAATATGGGGGAGGGGGATCTCTAGAATGGAGAATTTTGTGAAATCTAGATAATTTCCATGGAAGCGATTTGTCTAAATATTTATAGAAGTTAAGAGACCCAAAAAAACTAAACAGATTTATGCATAAACACGCATTTGCACAGTCAGTGGAAATAATTTGTAATCACAGTTAACTTCAGGGTAGGTTATCTCATTCCATTTTTTTCCAAACCTATTGGCAATAGGACTTTCAATAGAAAATGTAACTGCTATGCTGTACAAATATATTCCCAGCTGGTATACTTTTTTATATAAAAATGTTTCAGCCTCTCTTTGGAATAGTCCTGTTTTGTATGTTTAAAATGTTGGCTGAATACATTGGTTGGTTGTTTTTTCACACTGAGTGGCTGTTATCTACATGTGTTTGTAGTAACACAATCAAACAATCTGTTTGGTTCAGTTTAGAATTTTATTCTCAGTTGTTCAATCCATGCACAATATTAGTGGGACATGTTTATCACGACAAGGGCAATAACTAGGTAGATGAAGACCACAAATGAAGGTGCTTGTATCTGTGCTTCTGTGCAAACACAGAACCTGCACTGATGACCATGGTTAAGTAGCTGGTTTTGTCTTTTTGCATGACCACCGGATATTCAATCAAATAATGCAGAATCATGTTAAAACAGGCGGATGAAACTAGTCATGACATAATTATCCAACCACACTTGTAAACACACCTGGATGACCACAAACACCTAAGGTGTACGTTATGTTGGATAGAATTACCAATTCAAAAAAGAGGTAAGACCTCTTTCTGGGCAGGGCTTACCATAAAAGACTAAGAATTTCCTAACCAGTCTGTTCCTCTTCCTTATGCTCATTGATTAAATGAATCAAGGGCAGAATATAACCTCAATGTGATGTACAATTCAGCAATCTTGAAGTCATTAATAAATAACCGGCAAATCGATATTGGAAATCTTCTCTGACTCTTAGCTTTAAAACACCTATGGGGAAATCTTGGTCCTACTGAAGTCAGTGGCAAAACTCCCATTTGCTTAGATGGGGGGCAGCATTCCACCATTGGTATTTGCCAGGAACCACTTTTATCATGAGGCAGATATGTGATTAATTTGGTACAGTAGAAGACTCCAGTCCGGTAAATAGCCTATGAGATAGTTGAGTCCCCACAAATAATGCCATTTAAAGAACTGTGGTTAACATCTACTCAGGGGCTCAGAGCTTTAGTTAAAATATATGAAAGTCCTTCACTTTTAACTGAATGGATCATTTCAGACTGCGCGGTACTCAGCCCATATAACAATGAAAAAAGCAGAGGAAACGTCTTGAACAACACAGGGCTTTGTTAGTATCTGTTTCATGTGTCAAAGCTCTCTTTTTAATAGTAACATTTAATTTATTGACTGTAATTTTGATTGTGATCACCACCATAGTATGGGTAGGCCCCGTACAGGAGGAAACAGGAATAAAATGTAAGCAAATGTTGGATAATTTGTCATCACTGCAAAAACCTTGTACTTCCGTACACGCTGATGGAACAAGCCAGTGATGGAGGATAAATGAAAGCATGCTTGTTACATACACTATTAAGCAAAGAGCGTCAGATTAGATAGACAGCTAAGATTTAATGTAGGCATCAGGGCAAATTCAAGGCTCTTTTCTATTTACGCAAGTCAGCTCTGTGATGGTGGAAGTTTGATAGCTTTGTGTGCTACCTGGTTTCCCAAAGATAAAATGAATGAAAGTCAATTATGAATGAATGGCGCCTTAAAGTCATCTCTGATGCTCAGCTTGGACTATGTCTAAAAGAGCTCACAATATCATACAGCACTGATGATCAGCTGCACTATTATTTTTATTTTAATGTATATGTCGGTTGTGTCAATCAGAAAGGGACAAATGCAGTTCAAGTACTAATATAACATTTGATTTTATTGATAGAAAAATAAGCCTTGCCCAAAATTATTCTTGAAGGGTGGTAACCTTAGCAATACTCCTTCACAGAAATAAACCTGGATTTTGGGCTTAAAAATATTTTCTTCTTTAAAAATATCTGAGAGCCAAGAGGGAATTCTATACATTAGTCTAGTTACCTGTCAAGGTATTTCATATATGGGCCCAATCTTCCACACATTAAGGCAATGGTAAAATGCAAATTGGTTTTGATAGGAAATGGATCAGAGCCCTTAGTGGCAAAAATACTGGGCTCTCCATGGAGTGAAATTAGAGCATCTGGTACCACAATTAGTTTATATATTGGGGGGGAAATCCATTCTTAAATCAGAGAAATCTCATGTCACTGGTGGATAAAAGGTTTGATTTCCTCCTGGGTTGCAAATGACCTGTCTGTTTGCCCCATCAGGTACTTAGCAAAACAATAGACTGTGCTCACGCATTTTTATGCAAAGTATCATGCAATGATGGATGGCAACTGGTGGGATTGAAATGAGAGGTTAATTAGACAAGACAAAATGAGAGGATTAATGTTATATCTTGTATCCCGCTGTTGTCTCACATTATTCCCCAAATGCTGCTGAGGTTTGGATGGAGTCTCCGGAATAAAAACAAAGGTTTGATCCCTCGGCCTTTAGTATGTGGAATCTACAATCCTTTTCCAACTTGGTAATTGCATAAAGGGGCAAAATTGTCTTATGCATGGGGCCTGGTTCTGCCCTCGCTTGCATCCAGGGCAGCACCGTGGAAGTCAGGGGGGGTCCAAGGTGACACTTCCTTCTTTTTACAAGAAGTCCTACTGCTCTAGTGTGTACAGCAGCATGGCAAACTTTCTTTCATTGGACAGAACAGAGATGAAAAGCCGCCACTAATCTAGAGAGGGGATAGGAAGTGGACATATCTGGAGCTACAGCTATTACCAACCTGGGAGCCAACGGGGGAAGGAGCCTTTCTTGCTGCATCTGCTCCCAGCGAGGAGCAAGAAGAACAGCCAGAGTTTTTTGAAGCTGTATCATCCTGAAGGCTTGGTTTCACCTACCCCAAGATCGACGCTCTAGAGAGTGATCTCCCAGAGTTTGATTTAGCAGGTCTAGTAAGGGCCAGCTAAATTGACCACTGATGACACCCCCATCCACCTCAGTACTCCACCAGGTTGTGAGGAGTGAGAGAAGTTGACAGGAAAGTTTCTCCCATCAATCTCCCACAGTGGGGATGCTGCCAAAATTTGACAAGAGGTAAATTGACTCCTGCTATGCTTGCCTCGTAGCTGGAGTTACATATCTTAGATCTTAGGGTATATCTACACTTGCAGCCTATTTCGGAATAGGGCTGCAAACGTATGCATTTGGAATTGCAAATCAAGCCCGGGATTTAAATATCCTGTGCTTGATTTGCATCTCCTGGCTGGTGGCCATTTTTGAAATTTACAATGCCGAAGTAACTGCCCTCGTCTACACAGGGCAGGGCCACAGGGGTTCGAAATAAAGCCCAATTCTGAAATACCTGTTAAACTTCATTGCAGGAGGAATAACAGGTATTTCGGAATAGGGCTTTATTTCGAACCCCTGTGGCCCTGCCCTGTGTAGACGAGGGCAGTTACTTTGGTATTGTAAATTTCAAAAATGGCGACCAGCCAGGAGATGCAAATCAAGCACGGGATATTTAAATCCCGGGCTTGATTTGCAATTCCGAATGCATACATTTGCAGCCCTATTCTGAAATAGTCTATAAGGGTATAGCTACACTTGCAACCTAACAGATGTATCTGACAAAGTGGGTCTTTGCCCACAAAAGCTTATGCTCCAATACATCTGTTAGTCTATAAGGTGCTATAGGACTCCTTGTCGCTTTTGCAGATCCAGACTAACACGGCTACCCCTCTGATAGATATCTTAGGTCGACTTTCTCCCCTTCTTGGAGCTCCTTCTAGTGATCAGTGCCTCCTAGAAGCACCAGGGGGTTATAGAACCCAGCACATCTTCCCTGGTGGGCAAGGTGGTCATCTGCCAAATTGCTCCCCACTTCCTATAGTGAGATTTGGCTTACTCCAAAGTCTGTTGAATGCCACCCATTGGCTCCAATGGGCCTTGAACCAGACAAGTGTGATCCTCACTGCATTTCACAAACCCAGTTATCTAGCTGTGCACGGGACTAGTTCACAGCCCCACTGAGGTCAGTGACGGTCTCCCACTGACTTCAATGAGTTTTGAATCGGGCTCTTATGGGGCAACATTTCTACGGCTGCCGAAATTCTTTATTTCGCATTACCCTGTGACTCAATGGCAGCTCGAGAGCTGATCACCTAGGATGGATAACCTGGCCACTGACGGGGTGAGTGCCTCCGTCAGCATGTGAATATACACAGCTATCAAGTGGTGCGTATTGGGGGATATACATAGAGATCCTTATGTCAAGTTGCTACTCACTTGTCTCATGTTTCTTACCAAACACCCTGCAACTGTGTTCTGTGAATGAACGTGCCAAAACCGACTCACGGTGGGATTTTGGCAGCCAATTGCATTATTAACCCCATCCAGGGGGAATGAAATTTCCCTACGGAAGAGCCCTGCATTTCTTGATCAGATCAGAGAGTGGCCCAAGCACTGGCCATAGGAGAAGGCTGCCAGAGATCTGCAGTCAGCTCCATGACTAATGTGGATTGGATTCTAGGATCAGGGTCTTCAATAGGAAGCATGGTGCCTTTTTCATTTGACTGACAGCCTAGATGATGCTTGATGTCGTGATCTGGTAGGGAGGTGAGAGTATTTTTGCTTTACTGTACGATTTGCTAAGAAACCTTTGTTTTTAAACCTTTGAACGTCCATCTCCACCTTCCCCTACAATGGCTTTAAACAGCCCTTGCCATACTTAGCTCAAGGATCAGTATGGCAATGTCTCCGCACTCCAGTCTGCCATTACCTGTGACGTCTTTAATCACTTCTTTTGCTCCAGGCATTTCTGGAGTCATAGACGTACGAACACTTGCCACTAAGTCTCCTACTATGGCGCGGAGAGCAGTAAAATTCGCTATGTTGAAAAGGTGCGTATCGGAGGGTTCACTCGCTACTTCCTTTAACTCCCCTTCCTCTGCATCCTGCACTCCAATTGCAAACAAGTTTACATCTGCAGACTTATGGACAGATGATGGCAGAGCGATATCATGCTGGGTTTGTCCGTCCGTTAACACTATAATAATCTGAGGGATGCCATCGGCCGCTCTGCTTCCAGCAGCTTTAGTGAGATGGTTCTGAATTAGGTAGTCTATTCCTTTTCCAGTCTTGGGGCCTCCCCCCAGATAAGACATGTTCGAAATATGGGACAGGATATCGTGGGCAGAGTGATACGTATTTAACTGGAATTCTGTGTGTGGGTTTCCGCTGAACTGGACCAGGGCAAAACGAAAATCGTTTCCTCCCACAGCTAAAGATTTTACAACATCAAACAGAAACTCTCGAACAAGTTGGAAATGTTCCTTTCCAATGCTCCAAGAGGAATCCACTAGAAATATTATATCGGCAGCGGCAACGATTTTGTCATCTTCAAAAAAACAGATGGGTTTAGGATTTTCCACCGGTCAGCTGAAAAAGTCCATGATGCCCAAACCCTCTCTCAGACATGGCCTATTTTGCATTATCAAATGAAGCCCACGGTCCCCTTATAACCTGGGGCAAGACAAAAGGATCATTTGGAGACAGACTGTGAATAGCCCTGTGCAGGGGCACCAGGAGGGGAAAAGATACTAAAAGCCAACCTTCCCCTCCCCCTGCACAAGAGCTAGTCCCAGACCTTGCATTCCCAAAGCACAAGGGTGAGAAATGATGACATTTTACATGGGAAAGAGCATGCATTGTCCCCTTCCATAGGGGATAATTCTCCTATTTACTCTCAGGCCAGATCTACACTAAAGAGGAAGCTTAAATCAGGATACTTTGACATACCTTGATTTGAATTTCCCCGCCACCCCCACAGCAGGAGGTAGGAGCAGGAGTACAGGCCACTTACAGAGGCAGCCTCTGAGTTCGATTTAGCAGGTCTTAACTAGACTAGCTAAATCAAACTCCGGACGATCAATCATGGCAGTGTCAATCTTCCACTTAGTGAAGATGTGGCCTCACTGGAGTGGCATGATCCGATCCCTCCCCTCCCCTCTCTGTGGGTTGTGGTCCCAGGCCTTGATCCACTGATGCAAAAGAATGTCACTAGTGTCCTTGGCCCAGATCTTCCACGTCATTTAGGTGCCTAACTCCTATTGGGAGGTAAGCACCTAACTACCTTGATGGTCTGGGCCATTTTGGTCAACAGAATTACTCATGGGCTTCAAATCACACACGCATTTCAGGGCTTTGCTGGATCCGGGCCTGTTGCCACCTTTTCACCCTTAATGTTATTAAAGGATCAAAGTTCCACTAGCTATTTCTTGGAGCAATGGGAAATCTTCTCTGATAGTTGAAATGCAGGATTGGTCACTGAGTAATGTTAATATACATGAGTACTGCTCACAAGCAGTTTATGCTATATGACTCTAACCCTGTCTCTTTGCTCGCTGGCTTGGAGAAGGAGTCCTCTTGACTTCCCACGGACTGCTAGTGTCAATAAGAGTTATGGTGCAGGGTTGGGCTCTGCTTACTGCTGTTTCAGGGTTTCCTACTCCCAGTGAACACCTAATATATTAATTGCAATCCAAAAGATACTATTAGTAGGGCCCTGCAAATCCGCAGCTATCTGCTTTCTATCCGCGGGTATCCGCATCCGTGGCTATGGATGTGGATATCCACGGTTTGGTTTTGTGGATACCGATTTTGTATCTGTGCAGGGGAGCTAGCTGTTAGATCTTTCTGCGTGGTAACGCAGACAGCGCTCATCCATGACAACAGCTGTAAGCCGGCATGCTTTTCATTGCAACATTCCGTTTTTTCCCCAGGCTTTCGATCACATAAAGGATGTGCTTCTGCCAAGAAGCATAGACAATACATAAGGCGGGGGCCCAGGGGACACAAATGCTCTACTTGCAACAACCTCATCTTACACCGACACCATTTGCTCTTTACGTGTTTAGGAAAATGCCAGACTGACTTGTGAGGAATTGATCAGCATCTGCTAGGCTCAGACTCACTCTCAGGCAAAACCAGGGGCAGGTCACACAATCTCTGATCCACATGCACATTTGAAAACAGTCCACAAACACAAGAGGAAATAGCATCACGCTTTTGCACATCACAAACCCTGTGAGGATGCCTGGACCTTACCTTCCTGCTGCTGAGCATCAACCATACAGCCTGAGAGCACGAGGCAAAAGATTGCCGCGAGGGGCAAATGTCGATGTTTCCTCATCGTTTTGTTCGTTTTGTTTTTCAAAGCACCCAACGTGTGCCCTAAACAGGAACAGAGAGATCATCAATGGGAACCGCTTTCTTAGATCTGTGCTTCTCCTCCCCCCCGCAGCCATGATAAGCCCCCACCATGATGTGAACGGAACTTTCTACAGAGTAAAGATTTTATCCACACACACGTGTTTGGAACTCCCACAAACCCCTATCCTGCTACTAAAGTTTTACTTAGAACTCAGGCTGACTCCTGCTCCAGGCTTGGGAGTGAAAAGACACCCTTAGCCTTAGCAGCTCCAAGAGATTCCTGCTCTTTCAAAGGAAGCCAGCAGGGGCAGAAAGCATCCACATCAAACCTGTCATCTATAGCCACAGCCAGACCCTCATGGACCACTGATGCCAATGGGGCTATGCCCAGAAATGCATCTCGCTGTGGTCTCTCTCTCGCTTTCTCTTCTACCATTGAAATGTGCCTGCCACCCACAGGAAATTGAAGACTCCCTAGGGCTAGAAAGGCCTTTTGGTTCTGTGTGTGTACAGCACCTCGCCACAGCCAGGCCTCCTAGCTACTGTGGTCACACACACAAAAAATAATCCTGATTATTATTACTAAGTCTAGGTGCCTTCCTTATAAAAGAGAATTAAGCATCGCTAAGCACAGTGACACTTCAAAACGAAGCAAACGATATTATGCCAGGGCCGTATCCAATTCCCAAAGGAAAACAGCAGTGCGTTTTTATGCATTTTTCATTATGGCAGCAACTAGTGCCCGCGCCAGATGCTGTACAAACATAGAGTCGGAAACAAGTCTTGCCTCAAAGAGCCTGCACTTTAAAGAGTCAAGGGAGGCAGCAGGTAGGGGAGGGTGAGAGCATACAATCAGAGGGCGCAGAGAAGGTAAGCCAATGCGTGTGAGTGCCGGCTTTCTAAAACGTGTTTTGGGTGGGTGTGATGGGGTGAGCAAAGGGTTAACAGGCGCGCGAGCTGAAGGAGCCCATCTGGCTGCTTCTAGAAGACAGGATGGGTGCGAGCAAAACAGCCAATCTACACAGGTAAGAGACTGTCTGTTCAAAACCACCGTGAGCGCTTTGGTATCGAATCCCACCTCCTACTGGAGATGGCTTTAGTACTGATGGCCCCTCCCTACAATTTCTCTCTTCCCACAGCCCGGATGGCATAGCTCCCAGTGTCTCTCTAACATGCACGGCTCTGGAAGGGAGGGGTTGATTATTGATTACCTGGGCCCCCTTTTTCCCCGCCCTCTAGACACTACTGTCAAGTGTCATTAGACCTCACTTGAGTAACACCTGCCCACAGGGATGAAGTCGGGTTTGTGTCCTGCCTGGTTATTTTACAGCACCAGGGAAAAAGCTATTTGGGAATGACAAGCAGGAGGATGCGGGGGAATCCCAGGTCCCCATACAAGGAGGTTTTAAGGTCCTTTTGGCAATTCAGTGATTTTGGCATGAGCCAGGATCTAAGCCACATGAGTTTATATGGACAGACCTCGGTCAAGGACTTGGATGATTCACTCTTTACCTGTGCCGCACTTCGTTAACTCTGGTTTCCCCCTTAAAAATACAATTTAGGGTTACAGCCAGCCATTGGAGGCTGTCAAGTCAGGAGCATTGCGCACCGATGGATATTTCTTTCAGTCGCTATTTCCTTTCTTTATAGTAGCCACCCCCAGAATGACAGCATTTCTCCTCCCTTCACCCTTTCCAGGACACCAAAGGCAGGAGTAGAAACTTCACTCCAAGTTCAAGTCCGTTAATTCTTCTTACCAGCAGAATCACTACAGGAATCCTGCAAATTTCCAGTCCCCGCGGTGGAATAACCCATGCAGAAGGGATCCCATAGTACGAACATGGAAGGCTCCCAAGAATAACTTTATGTGCTACAGTGATGATAATATTTTACCTGTGGTTTCTTTTTATCTGACATCCACATGGCAAATCTGCTGAAAGAATATATCCTTCAGTATGGCAGCAGATTTGCTGCCTTACGGGTGGATATTTATGATTTAAGATTTGCTTCCTATCTTAAATAGCACAGCACAGTAATACTGCTTAACTGATAAAGTATAAAATGCAGTGATTTAATATTTCTCTTTCCCCAAGAGGACATGAGGGTTTCAAATGAGCCAGAAAAGTTGACTCTTAAACCAAGTCAGCTTTAAAAATTACCTTCCCTGTTTGCTGCTGTTCTTGCCAGCTCAATTAACTCAGTGACTCTAAGGGAATCCGAGACCATTAATGAAAAGAATAACAAGGTTTTGTAACAAAACCTTGGAAGTCAGACAGCTGAGCAAAAAAAACCAGCTGGAAATAACCCCAGTGCACTCTCAATCATCAGGAACGTACAAATAAAGCAGCACCTGAGAGGTTAATCGCCCACCATGGGCCAATTTCACATGTGCTACGGGTTTCAAATGAAACTTGCCAAGGGGTGGTGAGCCACATTCTGAAATGCGGTAAAGCTGTGTCACTCCATTGACTTCCATGTAGCAAAACTGAGAAGTTGGCCTAGTGGGTATGTCTAGACTACATGGCTGTGTCTACATTGACACCCTTTTCCGGAAAAGGGTGCCAGTGTAGACACAGCCCATGCCTCTGCCGACAGAGGCATGTAGATTAGCCTACCCGACATAGTCAATGAAGCGGGGATTATTTAAATCCCCGCGGCATTTGCAATTCCGACTTGTCTCATTAGCATCCCTTTTCCGGAAAAGGGTGCCAGTGTAGACACAGCCCATGCCTCTGCCGACAGAGGCATGTAGATTAGCCTACCCGACATAGTCAATGAAGCGGGGATTATTTAAATCCCCGCGGCATTTGCAATTCCGACTTGTCTCATTAGCATCCCTTTTCCGGAAAAGGGTGCCAGTGTAGACACAGCCCATGCCTCTGCCGACAGAGGCATGTAGATTAGCCTACCCGACATAGTCAATGAAGCGGGGATTATTTAAATCCCCGCGGCATTTGCAATTCCGACTTGTCTCATTAGCATCCCTTTTCCGGAAAAGGGTGCCAGTGTAGACACAGCCCATGCCTCTGCCGACAGAGGCATGTAGATTAGCCTACCCGACATAGTCAATGAAGCGGGGATTATTTAAATCCCCGCGGCATTTGCAATTCCGACTTGTCTCATTAGCATCCCTTTTCCGGAAAAGGGTGCCAGTGTAGACACAGCCCATGCCTCTGCCGACAGAGGCATGTAGATTAGCCTACCCGACATAGTCAATGAAGCGGGGATTATTTAAATCCCCGCGGCATTTGCAATTCCGACTTGTCTCATTAGCATCCCTTTTCCGGAAAAGGGTGCCAGTGTAGACACAGCCCATGCCTCTGCCGACAGAGGCATGTAGATTAGCCTACCCGACATAGTCAATGAAGCGGGGATTATTTAAATCCCCGCGGCATTTGCAATTCCGACTTGTCTCATTAGCATCCCTTTTCCGGAAAAGGGTGCCAGTGTAGACACAGCCCATGCCTCTGCCGACAGAGGCATGTAGATTAGCCTACCCGACATAGTCAATGAAGCGGGGATTATTTAAATCCCCGCGGCATTTGCAATTCCGACTTGTCTCATTAGCATCCCTTTTCCGGAATTTGGGGCCAGTGTAGACGTAGCCTGTGTGTTTGAAGGAGAGGCCAGACAGACAGGAAACATACACATGTGCTTTGTGATGAATTACTGAAAGCATACCAGGCCAACAATTTCCTTCCTGTTCAGGAGAAAGGTTTCATCGTGTTTCCTCTCCCAGATGCTATGAATGGCTGGGCCACTCTACCTAGCTCTGCTTCTTTGCTTCCCCGCGTTAAAGAAAACTCAAAGGCAGCACCTTGTTTCCTTGACAATCATTACAGCCAGTGCTGGCTGTTAAAAAGTCAAGGCACGCCAACACTTAACCAGTCATCTCCCAATCCATTTGTAAGACCTCGTGGTGTCTTAGGGGCAACCACCAGAACTGCGTGCTTTATTGATGTTCTTAATTGACAAGCAACGCTTCCACTGGAGGTCCGGTCAAAGCAAGGGCTCTCTCCAGGCAGAGCCTTCCCCAAGCTGTGAGTAAGGGAAGGCCGAGCAGCCTTGAGAAATCCCTTCCCTCTGAAATGTGGTGGAAGGCGCACAGGAGGGGATGGAGCACAGGGGCGGCCATTTTCCAGGTTTTCCATTTCCAGACTGCTGCTCTCCTGAGGGAAGTTAGCGGTGGTTGCAGCTGTAATGCTGAAGGCGTTGCTCTGTCAACGCTTCTCAGCAGCCCCCACTCAGGGGCGCCAGTCTTATGCCCCCGGTGTTGCGCTGGCTTGAAGCTGAAGAAGCCCCGTGGCAAATCAAGGCCACGGTTCCAGAGCTCCGACAAAGCGTTGCCCGGGCAACGGAGCATGGCCCCTTCTGAGGCCTGCTTTCGCAGGAAAGGGTGCTCCCACTAAGCCACCTGCCTCTGTGGGAAAAGCCTTTCCCCACTGATCCAAGGGGCTGCGGAGCCTTGTGGCCTGGCTTCTCTGGGTCTGCCCCCCAAATTGCTCCCCTCACAGAGAGGATGGGCTGGAAACGCCAGGGGATACCTGCCAACTCTGGCCCCTCCTGCACGTTCTTCCAAGGAGGGAGCCCAGATCTGTTTCTAGTACCGGCGAATGGTAATTACACACAGGGACGAAAGGAGCGATAATGTTTTAAAAGGAAGCATGGTGCCGGGGTGCCTCGGAGCAATAAATCATGATCATTGTACGCCCTCCACAAAGTGAGAGAACTCTTGGGAATTCCCGTGGGAGTTAGATGCTTAAATAGATTGGAGGATCGGGGCCCAGATCTTTAACTGGAATCAAATTAACACTGCATCCTTCTCTTTCCTGGAACTACGCTGATTTACCCCAGCTAAGGATCTGGCCCGACGTATTTTACATTCAACCAGTCTGTCAGCTATAAGGCAGCAGCTCATGCTGGAAGATCATGCGACCCTTGGAGAACACAAGGCTGATTCACTCAAAGCTGTTATCTATTTGAATATCTAGTCAAGGAGCCAACTAAACGCCTCCTTTCTC